AGGTCCATGAGCACCACACACCCATGCATGGCAGAACTCACCCGTCCATGGTGGGCATGTGCAGGTCCATGAGCACCACACACCCATGCATGGCAGAACTCACCCGTCCATGGTGGGCATGTGCAGGTCCATGAGCACCACACACCCATGCATGGCAGAACTCACCCGTCCATGGTGGGCATGTGTAGGTCCATGAGCACCACATCCAGCACCGCGCTGGCATCGCTTGCCGCGCCATGGCTTGCCGCACTCACAGCCGCCGCCACCAGCCGCACCGCCTCCTCCCCGCTGCCCGCCGTGCTGACGCTGGCGCCGCAGCGGGTGAGCGTGCGGCGGGCCACCAGCAGATTCACCGCCGTGTCGTCCACCACCAGCACGCGCCGCCCCGCCAGATACCCCCCACCCGCTCCCCTCTCCTCCCCCACCAGCACGCGCTGCCCCATAAGCAACCCCCCTGCCGCCCCGGATGCTCTGCCTGCTGCTGCTGCTGCCCTTTGCCGTGCTGTGTTGCTACAAGGCTCCACTTCTGTCAAGCTTGTACTATGCTCGCTCGCGCTCCTCACCACTGCGTGCTCATTCAGGTCCTTGGGAGCACACTCACTCATCTCACTCTGCATACTGCCATCTTGACTAGGCTCGCCACGCCCTGCATCAACCCCTGCCTCATCTCTGCTGCTGCCAGGCTGCTGCTGATCATCGCCCCTTTCTTCACTCCTCTGCCTGCCAGAATTCTGCTGCCCTGACCTTTCCTCGTCGCTCTCTTGCTGCGTCCCCTGTATTGCTTGCCAGGCAGGCTCAGAGCTATCCCTTGTCTCGCGCCCCCGATTCCCAGGGTATAGACTCTCACAATCCACTCCAAATGCCGCCACCTGTGAGGATGAGGGATGGGCGTGGGAAGGCGAGATGAATGTTGAGTGTAAAAAAGAGGACGATAAGGCAAGGTGCAGAGGAGCAGTGGTGTGAGAGTACGACGACTTGATTCTGCTTGATTATGCATTACTTAGCTTAACTTTATTTTATCTTGCATGCCTTTGCTTGATTTCCTAGTTTCGTTGCTGAGATATAGGCACCGAACTAGGTTGAGTGCACCAAATTCTAGGCTTTTCGGTTGCCACCGAATTGTCTTCTACCAAATTTGGAAGAAACCGTTTGGGACGCTTCGCCACCCACGGAGCCTTGTAGTAACACCCGGGTTACTGCCTTTATATCGAGCCTATATATAGCATCGTGTTGTACCAAGGTGCTCATATTATTATTTATGAACCAAGTCATTCGATCCTCACAAGTGGCAAAATTACTGGCAATTTCGCGATTGCTTCGGTCGGGTGGCCAGACTGACCCACTGCTTGGCGGCACTCTTGAAGCCCAGCATGTAACAACTGATAGGATTCAAGAATGAGCCAAGGAGGCTCTATAGTACAAGCATGCAAGGAAGAGAAGAGTGGAGGAGGAGCTAACTTTATTGGCCACTAAGTTGGCCAATGGGCGAGGTGCCTTGTGGAGTAGGAAACCAATATAGGTTGTGATTGGTTGGTATTAGGACCAAATGTTGGCAAGTGCCAACCAAGGACCATGACCAAATCCAATCTTGACCAACCACAAAGTGTGGTTGGAGTGTTCACCCAACCCCCCAAGAACATAAGAAACTACACCTATTCTAGTCTATGAATGTTGTATATAATATACATTTACAACAACGGCCGCTTTCATTTGTGAGTACTGAGAAAGCTAACACCGATCCACTAAAGGTGAGCAAGTGGGCACTGTTTCTTTTTTACCCAGAAGGTGTCAGCCAGCTCGCAAGGGGTCACGCTTTCATAGTCGGTTTTGGCAGCATTGGTGTCATGCAATGAAGAGCAATACAAGCTCGTCAGGAGCCAAGAAGAGTCGTGTGGAGCTCACCTGGACGGCCCGGTGCAGACGGTGGGAGTGCAGCGGGCAGCAGCACACCACCACACGGGGAGCAGCAGCACCGGCAGAGGCAGTAGAGCCAGCATTGGCAGAAGCAGCAGAGGCAGTGCTGAGCGATGAGGAGGGCACACCAGCAGCACACAGACCAATCGCTGCTTGCCTCGTTCCACCAACGCTCCCTGGCCCCCCTTCATCTCCACACACCTCCTCCCACTCTCCCTCATCTGCACTTGTGCTGATTTTCTCCACCCTCTCCCTCCAGACCCCACTGCCCCCCTCATCGCCCTCCCCTCCTCCATCCCCACCCTCCCCCTCATCCCCCCTCTCCCCCTCATCCCCCCTCTCCCCATCATCCCCCTCCTCCCCCCCATCCACACCCTCCCCCTCATCCAACCTCTCCCCCTCGTCCCACCCCTCTTGTGTGGATCCAGCAGAGCACACAGCGAGAATGACGATCCCAGCCACCCTATCCCAGCAAGGCTGCCTCTCATCACCTCCCTTCAACCGACTCCCTGCCCCTCCACCCCCTTCCTCTATTACCTCTTCCTTCCCCGCTTTCCCAACCACCCCTTGGCCTCCATCCAGCGCAGCTCTCCCCCCAGCCCGGTGTGCTGCCATGCAGCGCCTCACAAGCGCCACTGCTGCTGCCTGCCATGCTGCTGCCTCCCCCGGCGCCAGCGCCACCACACCCGCGCCTTTGCCCCCACCACCCCCCTGCCCACCCGCCAGCCCGCTCCACCCACCTTGGTGGTAACCTCCCCTACTCGTAACATGCTCACTCTCCCAGCACATGCCAGCTGCTGCTCTCCCGCCCTGCTGCCACCATGCATCCTCCTCATTCACCACCACCACACATGGCATCGCCTCGTTTCCTTCCTCTTCATCCCCTACCTCTCCCGCACAACCTCCCCCTCCCCCCTCCTCAATGACCCCCAAACCCGGCTGACCACACAAGCAACTCCCTCTGCACTCGCCATCTTTCATCTCCTCCCCCTCCCCCTGCGCCCTCACTGCATCCTCGCAGCTCCCCTCCACACCACCTGTCCTCGTCTCAGCAGCGAGGGCGGCAGTGCTTGCATTGAGCCCAGGGAGCAGGGCAGCACGTGCACGTGTGCGCCGAGACCCGCCAGCATGCGCGCCGTGAGCTGCCACAGAAACAGCAAGGGGATTAGATGCAAAGAGTGCGAGGAAGAACAACAGAGCGTTCCACCACATCCACCTTCCCCTTCACACACACAGGCCCATGGCAGCAACCCTCCACATCAGGTCCATTTCGCATCCTTAGCAGCCTCACCTCTCTTATGCTGCCTTCCAGTCCCACGACACCCACAGCCACTCCCTCTATGCTCCTCGTGCACTTTGCATGGCCCTCCGCCTCCCCATTACGCGGCTCCCTTTCGCGCATGCCCTGCATACCACAGAGCCACGCTGCTACCCCATGCTCCGCTCTGCCTCTCACTCTCCCTCTGTCCATGTCGCTGCCGTTGCCTCGGAACCCTCTCAGCCCCCTCCACACCCTCCAGCTGCTGCGGAGCCCGCCCTTATTCCCCAACCACGAGTCACATCCCCATGAATCCCCTGCCGCCCGCTCATCCCCCTCATCTGAACCCCCCTCGTCTCTCCCGTTTGCCTTGCTCGTGTGGTGAGGGTGCGGGGGAAGAGCAGCAGCAGCAGCAGCAACAGCAGCAGGAGCAGCAGCAGGAGCAGCAGCAGCAACAGCAGCAGGAGGGGGAGGAACGGCAGGAAGGGGAGGGCCGCAGGGCAGGGCGAAGGGGACGGGGTGGGAGAGGCAGGCAACACGGCCGCCCATGAGGGCCACCTGGGAGGCGATGGGGCATGGCAGGCGGGAGGGGATGGAAGAGGGGGGGTGTGGGATGGTGGGGAGTAAACGGGAAAGGGGGTGGAGGGGGCACTAGGCCGCATATGAACCCTCTGCTGCTCTGAGGAGGTGACATGCCACGAGCAGGTACGGCAAACGGATCAAGTCAGGCAAACCCAGAGCAGTTTCGTAACTCAGACATTGTGACGAGTGAATTTGGGCGAAACACGGTATCTAGCAGCAGCACATGCAGGGGCGTGAACACAATGGGGTGAGGTAATGCCGATTAGATTAAAAGGTGCGATGCGAGCGTTGGGAGGAAAGGCGCGAGTAGAAGGCGGGAGAGACGCAAGGCACTGGGAAGAAAGAAAGACGGGACAGTGCATGGAGGCGGCAGGCACTGGTGTCGCATGGTTCGGACTTGGAACATGGCGACCGAGGATAACGAGAGCAGGTGATGGCAGCAGCAGCAAACGAGCTCGCTGCTGCTGGTTGGGAGACCTATTGATTGCATGACCTCACCTCAGTAGAGGCCGGCCTCAGAACCTACCGTGCGGTGCTGGTTTGGTCGAGAATTGGAACAGAATAGGAGACGCTCAGGGGAGCATGGGTATGTCTTGAGTCTACTTAAAAACTGAGTGGAGAAAAACGCATCTGAAGCATTGTGTTCTGCGTTTGAACGCGTGCGTTTGAACGCAAAACGCTGAACGCACAGGAAAAACGCAGAACGACGTCATTTTCGCCAAAACCCAACCCATCTCAACCCAAATCGACCCCTGAAAACCAGACCTTCAACCAAAATTCCCAAGGGTTTAGATAATGTTATGGGGAAAAATATCATGTGGGGAGAAAAAATGCTCAAATCTGTGCTGTGTCCTTCTCCCCCTCCTCCCAATGTCCTATTGGAAATTTTTTTGTCTGCCCAGAAGTTTTTTCACCCTGCCCCAGCCCTGCGTTTTTTTAGCGTTTTCAGGACCCCCCAAAATGCGTTCTGCGTTTTAAACGCAGCGTTTAAACGCCAGCGTTCAAAACGCTGAACGTGTTTTTCTCCACACAGCTTAAAACACAAGTGGCGCAAGGTGGCAAACCAAGAGAAGAGAGGAACGCTTTTCTGGCGTCCAAAATGTTTGAAATCTAGCATTCATCAATTTGACGCCAACGTTTCGACGCTGGTGTCCACAACACTGGACACATCTGTTCCAATCCAACTTAGGTGGTTGGTACGAGGTGAAGAGTTCACACTAGGAGGAAAGCACAAGATGGGAGAATCTCAGAGAGGGCTCACCAGCTGGTGCACGAGCACAAATCCCAGGCCTGCTCCTCCGCTCTCCGATCGCCCGTGCAGCGAACCACAAACAGTCGGATAAGGGGAGACATCATCATGAGCCTTGTGCACCGACTTGCATGATTAAGAGAGAAAGAGAGCAAGGTCAATGTGACACGACCCACCAGAGAAGTTTGCTTATACGGAGACACAATGCTGCCTGTGATTCACAATCAAGAGCTCCCCAACCGTCATGCCACATTGCCATCCCACCCTTACAATTCCATCGTGTCCTCACGCTCTCACCTTGAATTCTGAAAGCTCCTCCCAGGATGCATCAAACCCACAGCCCATGTCGGCACACGACAGCACCAGCTGCATCTCCTCTCCACCGCCGCCGCTACTCCACCCAGAGCCATCCCATTCGCCATCCCCTTCACCCTCACCCCTCACGTCCCCCACTTGCTCCTCCTCTCCCAGCACTGCAACGGTTGTGTGTGCATCATATGTGGGTGGTGAGAGATCTTCATTCCCCTCACGTTTATACGGCACTCCCTGATCCTCCACTTGCTCCCACCCGCACACCGCAGTTGCTCTACGGACGAGAAGCCCCAGCTGTGTGTGCAGGCAGCCCAACCAGGAGAAGAGCCAGGAGTGCGACGGAGGAGGAGTGTGGTGGTGGAGCGGGCAGTCTGATATTCGGGTGCAGAAGAGGGATGCAAGGTAAGGCAGGCAGCAGGGAAGAGTTGTGAGGAACGAAACAAGGACGGGCAGGGGAGGGGAGGTGGGGGGGGGGGGGGGAGGGGGGAGAGTGGGAAGGGAGGAACAGTGAGTGTCGCATGGCGTAACAAGGAAAGTGAGTCATACGGCGAGAGCAGTGAATGGCAAGCAAAAACGCAGCTTCGGTCTAGACTAGAGAGAGAGGGAGAGGAGAGGGGGAGCTGAGTGAGTGAAGGGTGACAACAAAGCAACGCTTACGGAGGTGGTGGTGAAGGAAGTCCTCGAGAGGGGTAGCAGCGGAGCACACGGACACTCGCACTAGCACGTGCCCCCTCGCCGTGTAGCACATTGCATGTCTGCCGGCGGTATGGCTGTGGTGTCGTTGGGATGTGCGTTTGGGTTGGGAACACAGACCAGCTTTGAATATCAAACATAGTGATGTGAACAGCACATGGGGAGACGCATAAAAGTGCTGAGTTGCTACACGAAAGCATTCATCATCCCAGGAAAAGGAGGGGTGGGAAAGGGGAAGGAAGAAGAGAAGGGAGGGGATGGAGGAGGGTGTGGGAATGGGGGAGGATAGGAAAATGGTGGGAGAGGTGGGCATGTGGTGCTGAACTGACCTATGAGCTCGTTGAGCACTTGTGAGAGTCGCATGGTGTCCATATGCAACACAACAGGCACTCCTGTATCCACCATGCCCGCCACTGTAACACCACAGCCACGCCAAGCACAAGCAGTGGAGAGTGATTTTGTGAGTTGATGCAAAGCTTACCACGCCATTAAACCTGTACAAGAATATTCGGTATTCGAGAATTAATCGATATTTGTTCGAATAACTAAATTCTAGAGAATAAGAAACGGCCGTGTATTTGAAAATATTCGCATCACGAGTATTCGTGGATGTAGAATATTCGGCTAACGGATATTTGGGATATTCGTTAATCTTTGGTATTCTACCATTCCCCCCCCCACACCCCCCTCCCCCCCCCCCCCACCTTCTCCCCCCTCCCCACATGCGGCTATCATTTTTGGCAATCTGTCTACAAGAGGCCTCATGAGAACCGTGTTCAAAAGCCTAGCAAGATAGTTGCTGGAGAGAAGTTAGCGAAAGCTCATGGTGCAGGATTGAGTCGTAGTGTTGATATTATTAGGTGCATTGTATCACTCTTTATCAAACATGCATTAGCCGTTCGACACTGACTATACAAAACATACTATTACTCGACACGTATTCGTATTCGTTTGTACACGCACATGCCATGCCACCCGCCCACAGCAACGGAGCACACTTATGGAAGCGGCGCGGAGTGTCAGAAGTCCTGCACTATGGATCTCCAGTTGATCCTAGGGAATGGTTACATATAAAAAGCCTGAGGGGTTGTGAGCGGACTCACCCGTTACTTAACAAGCCATTTTATCTCAGTAGTGTGGTGACAGGAATTTTGACATGGTATTGGAGCGAAGGTCTTGGATTCGAATCCCCGGTGCATGCTGGCAAGGGTGTCGCTGCTACTGTGCCGTGTCCTAGGGCATCCCAGTGAAAATGGGTGTAAGACGACCTGCACTGGGGATCCCTGATTGGTCCAACGGCACGAATACAGGTGCAAAATCTAGGGGGTTGTGGACGACCTTTCTTGCTACTTAACAAGCCATTTTATCCCAATGGTGTCGTGGCTAGAATTCTGACACGGAGTGTTTACTAAGCCCAAACAATGGCAGCAATGCCACACCAGCCTACATGCACGAACCTAGGTGTCAGCTTGCATGCATCCTGATCTGCTAACACACCCCTGCTGCTCATTATCCACGCACTCCAACCAATTCACCTAGTTCTTGATCCCTCCTTCACCAGTTCGCACATGCACTCACATTCAATGCCCTTGTCACACACACTGACCTTCGATACCCTTGTCCTGCGCCCGCTCACAGCAGCCCAGCACAATCTCTTCAAGCCACACTTGCGGGTGAAAGGGCGAGCAGCAGAGCGGCATGCGGCGCGCCTCGAGCTTGGAGGGGTCGAGCACGCGGTTGACGAGGCGCACCGTGTCGTGGGCGGCAGTGCGTGCCGCGCGCACGTCCTGGCGCTGGGTGGCAGAGAGGCCGCGGTCCTCCAAAGCATCGAGCAGCCCCACGATACCGAGCATGGGCGTGCGCAGCTCGTGCGACATGGACGCCACGAATGAGCTCTTCGACCGCTCCGCTGCCCTCGCCTTCCCTCTCAGCCGGTCCGCCGCTGCCAAGCTCTCCTCGCTGCGCATGTACCCCACCCGCTGCTGCCACGCCACCGCCGCCACCAGAGTGGTCAGCACTAGAGCGAGAGCTGCCCAGAGGAAGGGCACACCCCACAAGAGTGTCTCCATGTAGCTGGGTGGGGTTAAGTAAAGGGACCAAGTGACATGGAGGGAGGGAGGGGTCCAGCCAAGACTTCCATTGAAAATAGGAATAAGAAATTAGTGGTTTCGCGGAGAACGTGAGCGAAGAATGGGATTGTGCAGAAGGGGCATAGCAGAACTCATTGGCAGCACACAGCACTACTCAGCAGCACACACAACACTCACTTTCACCATGCTGCACTCACCAGCAGCACACAAACACTCACTGTCACTACACAGCAGTCACCAGCACAGCACCACACAAAACACTCTCTTTTGTCAGAATCACAGTCACTACACCACTGGGATAAAAAGGCTTGCTAAGTAGCAAGTGAGTGCGTTCATAACCCTCCAGACAAGTGTGCGTGTAACCCTTCCCTAGGATCGATCGGAAATCCCTAGTGCAGGTTTTCTAGGACATCCCCCTCATTGGGAAGTTTTAGGAGACGGCACAGCAGCAGTGGCACGTAGGCAGGTTTGAACCCGAGAATTTCGCTCTGATACCATGTCAGAATCCTAGCCACTACATCACTAGGATACTTGTTAAGTACTCCGATTGGGGGTCTATTAACACCTTTCACCACACAAAACTCATCGGCACCACAGCACATCACCGGCACCGCAGCACACTCACCGGCACCACACTTGGTAGCGCCGCAAACGGCCCCCAAGCAGATCGAGGGGCACGACAGAGCGTTCTTCCCACGGGCGCGTGATGTTGGGCGGCGAGATGTCGGTCATGGGAAGGATGTCGCGGTCGCGGTAGTACAGAAGGCGTGGGCCCGGGCCGTAGATCATTGTCAGGGCATTGGGGTCCGTGGTCTCATACACCTCGAATGTGATACTGGGGTCTGAAGTTTGCAGGATGCATGGTGAAGGCATGTCAAGGCAGAAAGATTCAAGGAAGAAGTAGAAAGGACTGGTGATGAGAGGCAGGGAGAAAGAGCCAGAGGAAACGAGGAATGGCAGAAATGGTGAGAAAGGTAAGGCTCGAAAGTTGAAAGGAAAGAAGAAAGCTGCCAATCCAGCTAGTTGAAGATCGTAAGCATGTGGCCCTCGCAGAGGTGGGGTGCGGTGCAGCGCAGCAAAAAGAGTGGTGAACAAGCTCTACACCACCTGACGTGAATTGCAGCACCTGGCGTAAACACGTTCTGCAGCACGTTGCGGGCGATCATTACAAGTCTACATTCGCTCCAGCTGCTCCCAGCACCACCTCCTCCGCCTGCTGCTCCGTGGGATTCGGTGGCAGCGCATGCTGCAAGATGGGCACCCCGACGGCTGCACGCAGAGATGCAACCGGGCATGCGGGACAGAGGTGAGAAGAAGTGGAATACAATGGAAGAGGGCAAAGATCGATCGTTCTGCGGTGAAATTGGGACGTGTGGGCGAGAGATGAGGGGACTGACTGAAGCCGGTGAGGTTGAGGGAGAGGTTTCCGATGGGCATGACACGGCTGAAGATGATGTCTCCCGTCCTGCGCAGGAAGGAGAGCTCGTCGCCGCCGCGCTGCATGAGGTCCACTAGCAAATAGCTTTTCCAGTACGAGTACAACTCGAGCAGCCTGGGGCAGTACAGAGGCTGCTGCTGGCGCCGCATCAAGGTGAAGTCGAGAATGGAGCCGTTGTACTGCCGCTCAAAGGCAGCCCTGCGCACGGCACGGCAGAGGCAGAGGGAGGGCGTGCCGCAGTGGAAGCACATGGACAGAGACGGGCAGCTGGGGCGGGTTTGAGCTGGGGGATGTGTGACAGCTGGACCAGAGGCGGGACCCTGTCCATGTGCCTTGAATTGAAAAACGGAGTTGAGTGGTGGGTGAGTACAAAGCGCGAGAGAGCGCGTTGCAGTGGCCCACTGACCTCTCTGCGTCTGTGACAAAGAGGCAGACCATGGCGCCTGTGTCCCCCGGTCGTGAGTAACTGGTGTTGTTGACATAGGCGATCCAGTGCTCCTCCGTGAGGCACTTGTCCCACGTCCAGTTGCCGTGGCCCCTGGGCTTGCCCATCACCGCCGCCAGCCCCGCCAGAGTCTGCCGCGCGTGGGAGTTTGGATCAAGGTTAAAAAAAACGTCGTTTTTTTTTTTTAATTTACCGTAAAAAACGGCCGTAAAAAACCAACCGTAAAAAACGGCCGTAAAAAACGGTAAAAAACGGTTCCAGAAGGTGGTTTCGTTCGAAGAAAAAATCAGCCATTTATGGGACAAAATTGATGGCGAAAATCACCAGCATGAAGAGGAGGAACACCTCCTTGCATGAGTGCGCTTGTGGGCATGATTAAAAATGTATACGACCTTGTTTTTCCCTTTTTTTCCTTGGTGACAACAGTTTTCTTAACAAAAAAACACTGTTTCTTTTTTGAAAAATACCGTAAAAAACGGGCCGTTTTTTACGAAAACAGTATTTTTCAACCTTGGTTTGGATTGGCACGTGAGGTGCGGGTGACAGGAGGGGTGGATGTGTGTGACAGCAGGACTTATGTCGCAGCAGGGTATGTGGTCTGCCACTTCACGTCACGTCACTGCCGCGATGTGAACATGTCCCATCGATGAGTGTACTGCTATGTTCCATAAACTGCTGATGCACACACCCTTGTGAACATGCATGGTGCTGTGGACAGAGGAACTGAGACCGAAAGTGCACGGATTCGATTTAAACCAGAAATCATGATTGTGCCTCATTCCCGGGCCCTTGATGAAACCCCTTATCAAACTTAAAATCCTCCCACTCCCCCGCCCATCTCCCCCCTCCTCCCCTCCTCTCCCCCCATGGGCTTAAACGAAACGGACAGCGGGAGTCAGGGGGGAGACAGGGGGAGGTTGGCTAGTAAGGGTGGGCAAGGAAGGAGAGCCATGCGCAGCGCAAGTGCACCGCATTGCATATCGCGCAGGGTGCGAGCGAGGGCGAGATTGCAAAATGGCGTTCCAGCCTGCTGATACACTACTAGCAAGGGCTACAGGGGAAACGAGCATCTGCCGAAAAGCTCCCAACCCTAAAAATCACCCATCACTCTAAAGGTCAGCAATCTGGGATAAACGTGTATGGGAATGCCGCCATTCTGGCCCCCGTATGGCGTGAGGTGCGTTGGGAGCGCTCACCCGGATCTGGCTGACGGTGGTGAGCGTGTGTTGCTCGAAGAGCTTGGCGCGCTCCATCGCACGAAGGATTGTGGTTTCCAGCAATCTGCTGGAAATAATTTTGGTGACTTCCGATTTCGTGGGTCCTGAGATTCGGCAGGCAATACGGGGGGGTAATTGTTGGGCAACAGAACCAACCTGAAGCCAACCTGGAAATTGTCGAAACCAACCTGCGGGCCGAAAGCACTGTATTGCCTAGTCATCGCGTGGCATTTGGCACGAGTGGTTCGGGTTTGTTACCATCGGAGCCAAAACAAGACCATCGCACATGCGAGAATTGATCAGTTGCTCTGTTACCACGCGCAACTGAATGGGTTACCCCATATTTCGAAAGCGTAAAAAAGCAACAAGTGTTTTAATCATTGTTCGTGATTTATTATTTGATAACGAAAATGTGATTATAATCAAAGCTTTAATTGAGATAAATACAGTACTGTAGACAACATTGAAGAATTATATTACGATAACAAAACACAGCCCTAAGAAACAGAAATCTCACGATTATCCGCGTCTGTTTCAGACCTGGTCAGTTGAAATCGAAATTTAATATATTGAAGCTGGCATTACAGGGCTAAATCATTAATAATACTAAATGCCTTGTACAACATTACACATTTCTACTCTATTGGACTCACTACTTCCGTACAACAGAGATTATCAGCTGTAAGACCAGAAAAAGTGAGTGGCAGGTAAGAAAACGCGAAAACAGCAGCTACTTACAGTCGTAATAATTTATAAATGTGCCGTCGTCAATAATCTGCGGCATAAAACAAGAGCCCCATTGTTAGGACTAAGAACAACATCTTTAAACATTGGCGAACTCACCAGAAACGCTCGACCACGCATAGGCGCTCCAAAGGTTTCTAACGTCTTCAAACAAGCTTGTTAACATTGCTTGGGCAAAGCCAGCACCTCGCAGATATTTCAATCTGTCTCTGATAGCAGCATTCGCCTCATGATGAATCACTTCACGATCTGAAAGCATGAGACACGGCATGAAAATAGACATCGTCAATATGAGAATGTATTCCTGAAGAAGCATAGCCATTAATGAAGAACTTGTTACGGTAAAGCTTATGGACGTAGCGGAAAGGAAAAAAAAACCGAAATAGCACACGTACGGACGAGCGCAGAAAAAAACTCACTGTCAGTCACGGCAGCATCGTGCTCGACGATGCGCTTACACGTCGCGGAGGGGGTTGCGGGAACTATATTGCACTGACTTCTATGCCTTGGAAGCTAAAGAACTTCGATGAAATGAGGCAGTCACACAAATGGAACACTAGTTCAAGACGAGACAGATATTGCTGGCCCTGCTCGTGCCCTGCTCGTTCCCTGCTCAGTTCACACTTCAAAGATGTGAGGAGGAACTTGACAGTTGGGAAAATGGTTCCCCGTCAAAAACACCGGATGCTGCCCAGAAAAAACTTCTCAGCAATTACGGACAATCAACTGATGTATAGAAAACCAGAACTGCCTTATTAATGCTGAATTGGTTGGCCTTGGGCAGAAAAAAACACGCGAAGGCTGCATTTAGAGAATGGAATGTACGGGGAAAAACTGCAGCGAACCAGATGCCTCTGGCGAAGCCACGCTGGATGCTGTAAATTGCCGGGGGGGGGAGGCGAAGATTTCTGGTACAGCGCACACCATCGCCCATCGGCGCGATGTGGGATTGCGGCGAGTGTGAGCCACTCCGATGCACACACATCAGCACACATCTAGCTGAGTCCACTCGAGAATGAGTGGTGATTGGTCAAAAGCATTCTGTTTCTGCAATCGTGTAAATCTTTGCTGACACAGCAAAGCAAATCAGGGTTGAGAAATCGTGATACTGCACGGTTAAGAGAGATGCCTGGTGGAAAATATAATAAGTGATTGATGTAAGTCTGTGTTTAATGAACATTTAAATTATAAAACCACCCCCAACAACCCAATCATAGGCCAATAATTAGTTGTTAATCAAAAATTGATCCAAGGCAATTGTGAACTATTTTAATTATCGATTAGGTTAAGACTTAAGGAAATGAACAATGTGCATGACGCGTAAATTAATTGTTGTGCAGAATCATAATAGTTACTATACATGATGTTAAGACCCACTTGGTCCTGGACGAACGTGACGTGTTTTTGCCGGGTATGCCAAAATTTCGGAAACCTGACGAACCACGCGTCACCGTGAGTTTTTCAGCACATTGAGTGCCTGTGTTTCTAGCTGTTTGCCCGAAAACATTTTGGTGACAACTCCAACCACGATTTCGGTAACTGCGCGAGCAGAATCAACTCGGAGTCGGTGGGCGGTTAGAAAAAAACATCGTTGGCAAATTGCGGGAACCCGATGTCGCCGAAATGTCTGCCAGCAATCTTCCGTCCAACACCCCCAAAGTTGCGATGTCGTAGCACCACGTGTCGAGGCGGCGGTAGCGATCGCCGAGGTACGTCGCGTGCGTCGAGTAGCACAGCCACGCCGCGAAGGCCGCGCCCGACAGCAGCCATAGCGTGACAAGCACCGCGAAGACAGGGCCTGGCGGGAGTGGCGCAAGATGGCAATTTTGTGCTACAGTAGCGAAACGCATCGCCGCTTGCGAAGTACGCACCGGCAGAAAGATGGTTTTTTTCCGGGCCATCATCATGAGAGCCAAATCACACGGACCCGGCGTCCCGGCCGTGACAAGGCGACGGCGTCCGTCGACAAATATTCGACACCCGAAAGCCCCGACAGCGGAAGCAGTGAGAAGAGCGGAGCTCGGCACGACATTCGAGCTTTCGACGAATTTCGTCTCTGTGAACTCACCTCGAAACACTTTATTCTGGATCGCGTCGCGTTTGCCGCGTGACAGCGACGACGAGTCGCTGTGCGAGCGGTGTAATCCACGCTTGCGGAGAGCGCGAAAATTATACATTATCTAAAAACAGGCCGGGAAAGTCGTCGAAGAAATGGTACCTGGCATAATTGGTCACTCACACGGCACCAGCAAGAAAATCCTCCTCTCCTGTGGTCGAAGCTGAAGGAGGACAGCTGGTGCAGCTGTGGATGTGCGTTGTGTTACGTGTGTGTGACATATTTCGTCATACAGTATTGTTGGCTTTGTTGAATTGGTATGTTCATACTGTCGGAATTAACAGACAGGAATGGCTGAACTAACAGGGAAGGCAGTACAAAATGCAAACCCTAGAATAGTGTACCCCATATAGTCTAGCCCACTGTAGCCTAAACAACAACAACATATATAATGTTTGACACACCCCCATAGGCAAAGTGGGGGAGACCTAGGGGTCACAAGACCAGTCAAAGCAAAGCAAGGCAACAACAAGCTCAGGGTGGATCTCGAGGATTCCACACAAATTCCGAGCACAAGCTAGTGGTCACAAGACCAGTTCACATGCAGGTTTATAACAGAGCAAGAGATACAGTGATCACAACCTAGCAAGAGTAAACATGCAGGTATATATATATATATATAGTGATCACAGTACAAGCAAAGTCACGAGGTAAGCAAGTGAGGTCCAGTAGGCACAAGGCCTAGCAGAGTGCAGAAGCGCTGATGGTCACGAGGCTGAAGCGCCTTGGTGAACACATCAGCAGTGTTGGCCTCAGTGGCCACGTAGCGAATACAAAGCTGACCACGCTGCTGCAACTCTCGAGCAAGGAAGTACCGCAGGGCGATGTGCTTCGTTCTGTGCTCCAGTCTGTGCTCCTCACACAATGCAATGGCAGCCTTGTTGTCGACGTACAGCACTGGAGGAGAACGAGGCCGCTCTCCGAGGTCGGTCAGCAGGTAGGTCAGCCAGCATAGCTCCTGGGCAGCCATGGCTGTAGCGTAGATCTCAGCCTCACAACTGGAGCCGAGAACAGAAGAAGAGCGCGTAGAGCGCCAAGAAACTGAGCCAGAGCCAAGGCTGAAGGTGTAACCCTGAGACGACCGCTGAGTGGCCTGGTCGTCTGCCCAAGAAGCGTCTGAGTGCCCTGTGAGAACAACTCGGTCTCGCCCTCCAAGCACAAGCCCCATGCCCGACGTACTGCACAAGTAGCGCAACACCCTCTTAGCGGCATCCATGTGCTCCTTCCTGTGACGGCCAGGAGCGACATAGCGTGCAAGGATGCTAAGAGGGTATGCAAGGTCAGGTCGAGTGCAGGTCATCAGGTACATGAGGCAGCCCACAAGCTCTGGATACGGGCCACTCGGCTCTACGGACTCATCCGAAGGCAGAGCTGAGAGCGAGTGACCGGTAGGCAGAGGAGTGGACTGAGGCGAGGAGTACGTGAAGCGGAAGCGCTGGAGAACCTGCTGCACCATGTGTGACTGAGTCAGGGTGATGGTGCGCCGTGCTCTGTCCCGGGTGATCCGCAAGCCAAGATAGCTTGTCAGCTCACCCAGGTCTGTGCACGTGTGTCTCCTCTGCAGCTCCGACTTCACGTAGGCGAGTCCTGCAGTGTCAGCAGTGGCAAAGACCAAGTCGTCGACGTACACGAGGATGTAGAACGGTGGCAGCGAAGTGTCGGTGCGCAGGAACAGCGACGGGTCAGCTGTAGAAGGCGCGAACCCAAGAGCCGCAAGTGTAGTCCTCAGTGTGTCGTGCCACTCACGCGGAGCCTGGCGGAGACCGTAGACCGGCCGCTGAAGCCTCCACTGGGTACCAGGAGGAAACGACCCAGTGAAGCCAGGTGGGCGGCGCAGCCAGATCTCCTCGTGCAGGCTGCCCTGCAAGAAAGCAGTGCTGAAGTCAAGTGAGTGAAGCTCGTAGTCGCGGTGAGCGGCTATGTGTAGCAGCACCCGAAGAGTAGTCATCTTCGGGGTGGGGGAGAAGGTCTGGAAGAAGTCAACTCCCTCTCGCTGACTGAAGCCTCGAGCCACGTAACGCGCCTTGAAGACAGGCGGAGAACCCGGCGGCCGCTTCACCCTGAAAATCCACATGCCACTGACGATGTTCGCCCCAGGAGGGGGAACCTCGTCGACGTAGGTGCGTGTGGACTTCCAGGAAGCCATCTCGGCGTCCATGGCTGTCTGCCACTGAGAGGAGTAGGGACCCGCCATCGCCTCAGCGTAAGTGCGCGAGGTCGGGATGTCTGGTGCATCCGGGTCTCCCTCAGGGGCAACTAGCAGGGACACGAGACGGGGCAAAGCAGCAGCAAGACACTGGAACTCCTCCTGTCTGTCCTCAAGGACGTCCGTGCCAAGAGCACACTCACCCCCGACGGACGGAGGACAGACAGACTCAGACTCAGACTCAGCAACAAGGCTAGCAGCGTAGTCTAGACGACAGGCAGCAGCAAAGTCAACCAACTCAGCGACCAGAGCAGACGCAGCCGAGGACTCAAAGGTAGGGTCAGTGACAACAGTAGCTAGGAGACGCGTGACAGTAGGGTGCTCAGCACGATACCGGTCAGACTCAGGGTCCGGAACGGCAGGCAAAGAGGACGCAGGAGGAGACGGTAGAGGGACACGCTGAGGAGCAGTAGAGGGACGCAGAGTCATGTAGTGAGTGCCTGGGACAGGAGGAGGACGCTCACGGCGGACACGACTACCAGTGCGAGAAGTACGAACAGGCGACGCAGGACGAGACTCAGGCTCACGACGCTCTGTAAGACCTCCTGTGGGACCAGTGTAAGGAGAGGGAGCAGGGAGAGGCGAGGTAGGCGGTAACTGTGACTGCGGCTGGACAGGCGGAGGACACTCTACGGAGGGAGGAGGACAAGGAGGAGGAGCCTGCCCAAGAACCTGCTGAAGGAGCGGTACGAAGTACGGTCGCGGCCGCGCAGCGTCTCCAGAAGCAGTAGAGACTCCAGCGGCCGGGTCCGCAGTACCAGCAGGAGCTCCAGCGTCCGGGTCCACAGCACCAGCAGCAGCTCCACCGCTCGGGTCCTCAGCTCCAGTAGCAGCTCCACCGTCCGAGTCCTCAGCACCAGCAGCAGCGCCACCGCTCGGGTCCCCAGCTCCAACAGCAGCTCCAACGTCCGATTCCTCAGCACCAGCAGCAGCTCCACCGCCCGGGTCCTCAGCACCAGCAGCAGCTCCACCGCTCGGGTCCGCAGCACCAGGAGCACCACTCCGAAGACTGCAGCGCCGTGTGTACCACTCGCGGATCTGCTGAATGGGGGGGAGCTCCTGGGTAGGAGGGGAAGTACCGGGACGAGCTCCAGCAGCACCTCTCCGGAGGCGGCAGTACTCGAGGTACCTCTCCTGCAGCTGCTGGGAGGAGAGGGCTCCTCCAGGTGTAGCACGCTCAGGCTCAGCACCCCCAGACTCAGCACCCCCAGACTCAGCACCTCCAGGCTCCGCACCTCCAGGCTCCGCACCTCCAGGCTCAGCACCCCCAGGCTCCGCACCCCCAGACTCAGCACTCCCAGGCTCAGCACCCCCAGACGCAGCACCCCCAGGCTCAGCACCCCCAGACGCAGCACCCCCAGGCTCAGCACCCCTAGCAGGACGAGAGTCAACAGCTACCTCGACAGGCTCACCCGGGTCTACCTGGGACACACCTGAGGGAGCGGCACCCTGAGGGGGGAGTTGGTCTGGTACCTCAGCACCTGGAGCGAGGAAGAGAGGCGGGGGGGGGAGCGGGGCAGTGCGGTAGGGGAAGAGGCGGTAGTAGGGGACAGACTCGTCAAAAGAGACGTCCTGAGAGGCCAGGACACGACGCGAGGTGGGGTGGTAGAACTGCCAGCCAGGGGCGTCCGGGACAAAGCCAAGGAAGACGCAAGGGACAGCGCGACGGGAGAGCTTGTCCGGGGACGTGTCGCGGACAAAAGCTCGGGATCCCCAGACCCGAAAACGCGACGCATCGCCAGCCTCTCCCGTCCAACGCAGTGTCGGCGAGGTCTCCGTCAAGGAGACACGGGGCCAGAGGTTGAGCTGATGCGCAGCGTATCGGACTGCAAACGGCCACAGAAAATGGGGGGCAGCCGCATGGCTCAAGGAGGTACGAGCGACCTCCATGACCAGACCAATGCGGCGCTCAGCAACCCCATTCTGCTGTGGAGAGGCCGGAAGCGTGAACGACTGCTCAATGCCCTCCTGCTGACAGAAGGCCTCCAATAGGCCAGAGGAAAACTCCCCACCTCTGTCAGAGTGCAGACGCAGGACAGGGAAGTCGGAGCGGAAACGCTCACGGAGCTGGAGACGAGATCTGCGGATCCAAGGGATCAAGACATCAGGGACGTCACCCTTGGCGCGCAAGGGGAAGACCGTGGTGTAGCGCGAGAAGTCGTCAACAACAATCAGGAAGTACCTCTCCTGACCCTGACCACGGACGCGGGCTGGGCCCCACACGTCCATGTGAAGCGTCTGCAAGGGAGCAGTCGTCGGGGGAAAGGAGGAGGAGTGAGGTGCGGCGCGCTGCCGCCCCTCGACACAGGGAATACAGGGAGGAGCAGGCGAGTCGGGAAGGGGAGGGAGCACCCTGGGAAGACCAGCAACAAGGTCCCGTTTGTGCATGGCCCGAAGGCGCTGCACAGACGGGTGACCAAGGCGGTGGTGCCAAAGGACAGTCTCATGCGCCAGAGAGCGACACGAGCAGGGGGCGGACAGCTGACCTGACGCAGACGCAGACGTAGACGCAGACGCAGCTACCTGAGGGGACTCAGTGGTCAGTGTGTACAGGTCCGACCCCGGCTCTCGAGTGAAAGTAGCCAGGTGGCGACCCGTCCGAGCACACGTGCAGTGTGTCACGTGCTCGTAGGCAGGGGTGAACTGGTGAACACCCCCGTCCTGGAGTGCACTACCTGCCACCAAGTTCGTAGAGAACGAGGGGAGGTAG